AAAAAATACCTATAAACATATAGAGATGTAGCTACCGTATTTGCGTATTCTTCGAATGCAATTATAGGATCAAATAAAGGAAGAATTGACGAACAAAATGGTCATAGAGATATGAAAGCTCAAAGTTGAAATGCGTTTATGGCAAAACAATGTACTGTACAATAACAATTAAAAGTGGATTTTGATTGTTTGAAGCTAAGAGTTTATAACTATGAAGATTTGTTTAAATCGGAAATATATTTTACAACAGATAACGAATCTAGTCGCTATTATTTTACTGTAAAACGACCTTGACAGTAGTTTGTGTTCGTTACTTCTTGAGATTTCAATTGCTGCAGGAGCATATTCGTGATATAAAGGTAAATATGACTTTATAATGCAAGAAAATGCTATTATATTTTTCTACTTTCCATAAGTAGTAAATTTCCTTTTATTTTAACAAGTCTATTTTCATTTTTGTGAAATATTAATAAAAGTTTTCGTAGCTGGGTTTTCTTTACATTGTACCGTATATTATCTACTTTATTGTTCTTTATCACATAAATTTAAATTGAAAGATTTTTTTGAATCGACATTGTAAAATTCGAATAGATCTTGCTTTCTTCTATCGATTAAAAAAATATATCTATTTATCTGTTGCAGAAGCTGAGAAAAGTCGATTCCTGATAAATGTATCATTTTCCGATTTAAACAAATTTTCATAATTATAAAGTCTGCTTCAAACAATCAAAATCACTTTTGACTATTACTGTACGGGGAGATTCACTATATATTTTGAAATACAAAAGTTGCACGATTTTTTATGAATTTTTCGCAAATGATAGTAGAAAAACAAATGAAGTCCAATCAAAATGGCCGCAGATGTTAACTTTGTTAATTTAAATGGAACACCCTGTATATTTTTACATATTTGGATAGAACGTTCTCTGTCGAGCATAGTCATATAGGATTTGGGTCCATCTCTAACAAACAATAAGCGAGATACTAAACTAGTGGAAAAAATTAAGGGATCAAAAAAAAATCTAAATTTTAGGCGATTTTTCAAATGGCTGTATCTTTGATAAAAATGGTCGTATTGGAGTAAAAAATAAAGCAATTTGAAGCTTGAAGTTTCTAATTTTTGGATCTTGCAAAAAAATTTTTTCAAGTAACACGTATCGCGCAATCTTAATGAATATTATGAAAAAAAATTTTTCGAAATTTTTTTCGATCTTATTTTTGGTGTACGGACTTGAAAAAAAATTTTCCAACTTAACCACCTTACGGATTAGATAAGTTGTTCATTTAGCTTCAATTTCTTTTTTTTTTGGTCTCGATACGACTATTTCTCGCTGAGCTATCGGACTTTGAATGAAAATGGATCATTTTCTCTTTGTTCATCGATATCTCAGAAACCAATGGTTGCACAGAAAATCGACGGTGGGTTTCAGAAACTTGAATGAATTCTCTACAAGGTCCTGGCACGGTTTAAAAAAAATTTTTTTATCTTTAACATGACTGAAAAATCGTAAAAAAACTTTTAGGGGTCTTCTAGAAAATCACGTGCCATATTGAGATTATTGGGAAAATGACTAATGTTAAGTGTCCCTTTTACAGGTCATTATACCCCTAAAAGCCCTACAGAGTTTCAATTCGATCCATTAAGCCGTTTTTTGTTTCATTCTATTGAATTTTTTAAAAAATTAAAGGAACACGTTTTTTTACTTTTAAATGCTCATAATCTGTAAAAAAATGAAAAAACTATTTTTTACCTGATTTTTTTTTACTTTATTATTGCAGAAAGCGTTTGAAATTATGAAAAAAATATAAAAATTATTAGTCATTTTCCCAATTCCCAATTCGAAAATTTTTTTTTCATGATATTCATTAAGATTGCGCGATACGTGTTACTTGAAAAATTTTTTTTTGCAAGATCCAAAAATTAGAAACTCAAGCTTCAAATTGCTTTTTTTTACTTCAATACGACCATTTTTATCAAAGATACAGCCATTTGAAAAATCGCGGAAAATTTAGATTTTTTTTTATCCTTTAATTTTTTCCACTAGTTTATTAAAAAAAGAAGAGAAGATTTTTTATTAAGAAAGGTTAGATACATCGTCACAGATTCGTGTGGGAAGAACGTCTAGAAATACCTGCTCGGTGCGCTCTAATCGCCGTTTAGATGCAAAGACGGAATCATTAGTTAAAATTACCGAGGCGGTTGTATCGTCTTTGCGTTGAAATTAAAGCCGCCAACGTTCATCCTCGCGAATTTATGCTAAACATAAATTTGGGTTATAATTTATGTACCATTCTGAGGGGGATGCAATTTCCAAAAAGGGCTTCGTTTTCGTTACGGTTTTAATATTCGAAATGAAAATTATAGAGCGAAATAAAATTCGAGAGAAGCGCAACGTAATTTATGGGCCGTTTAATACAATGGGGAATGTTTCGAATACTGAAGGCAGTTGTTTTTGCTTTTGTTTTGTTTTTTTCGCGAAGCCATCGAGACAGATAAATGGGGCAGGGTTTTTTAGGCAGACGATAATTTTTGTAGCAACAATTTGAAGATGTATTTAATAAAAGTGTAAAGAAAGCCGCGAAAAACACTTTTGTAAACTTAAAAAAAAATTATGGAGATTTTAAGACCGTAATAAAAAAATCTTTGAAGGGTATTTACAGTATATATCAGTGTAACGAGTCCACATTTGTAACTTTATAAATGAAAGGAATCCCTAGCAGATTTACGATGGAGATCCAGGGTTCTTTTTCTCCTCTATTATCCATACCCACTGATTCTTTTCGGTGATCCTGCGATTTTTTTTGTACCCCATATATCTCGGCGGAATTAATGAAATGTTTCCAGATTTCGCGTAAATCTATCTTTCCTTGAGAAGGGACCTTAACAAGAGTTGATAGGAAAGTGAAATTTACTTTAAAAGGATACAGCAAGGACTAGGTACGAAGAAAAACAGTTAATTCAAAATAGAAAAATGTATATTCTATATGTATACAGAGTGATCTGTTTGAAACTGATAATTTGTTGTGCTCCCTTTAATATTTTTAACAGATAACAAGTCTACACTTTTTGAAGCCGTTTTAACTTTATGCCAAGGTCAGGTGTGTTTGTACACGTTCAAATATGTATAGACAGTCAACTACGGTTATGTGAACACGAAGATAACGATTCTATACATATCCTCTGTCACTGTGCTTGTTTAATGGTGAAAAGACCCAAATTAGAGACACCAAAAAACTCCAAGCTGAGAGCATTTTTGAAACGTTAGAATGACGGCTATACACCTAAAAAGTAAAACGTTTTTACAAGAGAACAAGTCGATTTTCTCGTTCAGGCACCTAGTCCAAGCATTATAGAGAAATGCTTACAGAAATTATTACCTGGACAAAAAAAATATGACCGTATAGAAAATTAAATTTTAAATTGAGTTTCTTGTTCTTTAAACTCGATCCAAAATGGCGAACATGCTTAAAAAAAATCACAAAGTTGCAAAAAACGGTTTTTCTAAACTAACTAAAAAAATATAGCACCGATTGAAAAATTTTAATCGAGAAAGTTATAGGTTTTAAAAAGGTCTATCGACTGATTTTTTGTAAGTATCGATTGCTTTGTTAGTTTTCGAGATATATCCAAAAAACCGTTAAAAATCTTCTCTTTTCTCTTCTTCTATAACTCGTTTACATTTACGTGCCCATATTTGCTATTTACTGCAAGCATAGCCCGCGGCAATCCAAAAAAGTACATTTTTGAAAAATTTAAAAATATTAATTATTTTTCGAGATATATCGATTTTTTGAAAAAAAGGTGCTCTCGAAAATTGGTTAGATCTTCTCAGCGGATAGACCTACAGTAACGATTTTCGGTTTATTTTCTTCGTGAAGAGTTGTATTATCATGCTATTAAAAAATGTTGACGATTTTATTAATTTTAAGGATCAAAAATTGACTGAAAATGTTGCACTTTTTTTGGGTATGTTTTTTTCAAATAACTATTTCAATTTTTATTTCTATTTATTTGTTCATAAAATATGCATTTATACCTCGAAATCGATTTTTTATGTTACTTCATTTACCTCCGGTTGTCTAAATCTAAAACAGGACGTACCCTTGTAGTATCGTCTACAATTATCACATGCTGAAATTTCCTGCAAACATATAATGAGGTAAAATTATGTGGGGCTGTGAAGATCAAAGAAAACACCCTTTTGAGGCAGGCTTCATATTAAACCACAAGTCATATACGAAATATATACAGCCTTTGAACTTTTACACATAATAACATTACAATGTATAATAATATTATAATGACATGCGGTTATTAGTTACTCGAAGTTAACAAAAATAACACAATCTAGCAGATTATTTTTAAAATAATTAAAATAATTTAATAATAATTTGCTACTTTTTTATTTCAGATGTGAATAAATAATTTGCGCAAAGTTACATATAACAGTGATAGAGAAAACAAGTCTGTCATAAATCTCTTGACGCTAAATTTACCCTTTATAGTTTAGTCGATTTAGCGTGGAGTGAGTTCACTATTGGTTTAGACAGTTGGTATTTTTCACATCGCAAATGTGCGTAAGTATAATGTGTAACGAAAACGACAAACGATCCAGTCCAGACTGACGAATGGCTTAAGGCAACCGGTATTTTTCATAATAAGGCCTCTAGGCTAAAAAGTAACATGATTTATGGGAAACACAGTACGTGTGACATCATTTAAGAAGCAATTTCTATATGAATTTTTAATGTATTACGTTACTGTTATAAAAAACTTGATAAATATTTAAATAATTCCAAAACTAAGCTGCATCTTTTGATGATACAGAATTTTGCTGATGACGCATTGTCTAGGAAAACACGTCCTTTGTAAATACCAGTTTAGAATTTCAGGATATTTCACAAAGGATTTTTACAGTTTTATTAAAAACGAATCTTTTGAAGTATTATTCTCGTATCTACATGAACGATGCTCCAGGTTAATACGATTCTCTTTTTAGGTCACAAGTGCAGGGAAGATTGGCCCAATCAAAGAAGTGAACAGGTATTTAACTTGTTCCTAGATGTCATGCTGCTGCTGATACCCATGCTGATAATGAGTTTGGCTTATTCTCTAATAATGAGCAAATTGTGGAAGGGCCTGCAAAGGGAGATTCAACATAACACATCTTGTCAGCAGCAAAGTAAGTCCTACCTAGATAGAACAAGCGATATTGAGTTTCAAAAGGGGCGTTCGTTATAATCTTCAGTCCAAGATCAGACGGCACATTAATGTACATGTACAAGTAGCAATAATCATTTTTAAATAAGCATAAGCTTTGTATTAAAATGAAATATGATGTTAGAATAAGAAAAATTCTAACTATACTAATTTATTCATGCACAATACATCGCAGTTACACACAAACCTGATGGAATATTCGGATTGGTTGACAACTTTTTGCGTCATTTTTCATTGTACAATTGTCCATCAGGCGATTGTATGAACGCCAAAATGTGTAAAGAGAATCGCGTGAAGCTTACACTGGAACAGCCCAACAAAAAAGTACCCCGACAAAAAAATTGTTTCGAGCGAATGTGGCTTATTATTCCGCTGGCACCATTCAGAGGAAATATTTCTTTTGTAGTAAATAGAAGTCCTGAAATTTTCGTATCCGCTCTTCTATTGAGTGATTTTAGAGAAATTTACAGCTTGAAGTGTATCAAGAAGGTCGTGACCTTCTGGAGACTCTGCAGGAGAAAAAACCGAGTGGATGGATTTTTATTGAATGTGTCCTTAACGAAAACTTCGACATTTGATACGTGAGTTTTTTTTTAATCCATTTATTTCTGCCGACGCGAAGACACCGATGCCAGTCTATTTGTACAAATCTCGTATGAATACATGAATATACAGATGGAGACGAGCATCACCAGCCTTCCCTGGGTGGTCATCCATCCAACAACTCACAGCGATCAACGTTGTTTGACTTTTCATATCAATGACATGAATATCAAGTCGCTAGACTGCGCACCCTCTCGATACGTGAGTTGAAATCTGAAATATAGCCAGCAAGTCACTAGGGTACAGATTTGGGTTTATAAGCCTTAAAAAAATAGTCTTATTTGAAGGTATTTAAGTATCAAGATAATATTAAAATGCTGCGGTGAAAAACAAATTAACAAACAATACATTGTTTTCACGATGTTGAAACCTTAGACACACAGAAGTGATTAATGGCATTACATTCATTTGCCGGTGTTTTCCCTGAGGGATCCTAAAATAAAAATATAATTAATCATAGCCATATAATTTAAAACATGATTTATTCTTCAAACAGAAAAGGCAACCCAACTACAAAAGCAAGTACACGTAGACTTTTATCAATAAGATTTTCAAAAAAAAATTTCATCACATTCAACTCTCATATTTATTTCCAGCCGAATTTCGTAATAAAATTTCAAACATTCTAACTTTGACAAACCCCTGGTGTCATTTTAATCGGTAAACCGTCTGCTTTTACGATTTAACCGCATTCATTTCCAATTGCCTCTATTTCCATGAGACGGTTGTGATTGAAAAGTTCGTGTTTCTGTGTTAATTTGTCATTTATTGAATTATTACTATAGCTATTTAATTTTAGAACTGAGGTCAGTTCAAATACGTCCCTTCTTCAGATCTTGAATTCTCTTCTTCAATAAGGTGCAGTATTTAGTCTGAAAACAACACAATAGTGAAATACTAAATTATGTTAGACCTGGGTACGAATACAGAGAAAGTAGTAAAGAGTAATTATAATCAGAATATTTGTATTCAAGAACTCAGATTATGCGAATACAATGTTGAATAACTTCAGAGGTTGAAGTCAAAAGAATTATACAAAACTGAAATAAGACATAAGGTTTGAGAGTTTGTCTTGAAAGCAATAAAGGTTCGGAGTGAATTTATTGACTGAAGTTTAAGTGAAATTTAGAAGCATAATTTTAAAATCTCGACACACCTACAAATGACTGCTGTGATTGTTCTGGGTGTCTGTGATCATTTTGTCACTTCCTTGAAGTTTATTCCGCCCTAATTAAAAATTGCGCATTATACGTAAAGTAGATTACTTTAATTTGCCGGAATTTTAAGTAGATTATCTCATCAGTCTTTTTGGAATTTTTTCAAGGGAAATTAAACAATGATTACCATTTCAAAGGACAATGCTGGAACTCTGCAGGACTGTTAAATAAATAGGATTCAATTTAAATTTATTGGCATCCTTAGGTCATTAAGAGCTGATTTTGCCAGAAATGTAAACACAGATAAATTGTTTTTTTTTGGACGAATATTTAACGAAATTGCTTATTTCAACTTGGAAAAGATAAAACAGGATGTTTCGGAAAAGTTTACAATATATTTGTTAGTAAATTCCTTTTTTATTCGATGTTTATGGTAGATCTGTCAAATTGTGCGACTACTTCGTGAGAAATTTCAGTAACAACAGATTTTCAACGTTTTTCAATTTTGATATAGAAAATAAATCAAAATTTTGATATTTAGGATGATCCGTAACGGTTATAGTTGGACGTTTTTTCTGACACTTTATCTCGCATATTTTTCCATGTAAAATGTGTTTAATTCTTTAATAACACCAACGGTTTGGACTCAGATCAATGTTATATTTTTTAAATGGAAATCATAGTTGACCTAGTTAGAAAAAGGTGTTTTTTTAATTTTAAAAACACAGAGGTTGTCATATTTACGTGGAAGAATAAAAAGACTTATAGTCCAAACGTAAAAATGGTTTCGACTAAAAACAAATGCACTGTTTTAGAATTTATACAACTATTATTTTACACCTACAGCTGGCTATGGAAAAAACAAATAACTGAAGAGTTAAACAAATCATATCGAATGTTTTTTTTTTACAAAAATGACGAACGTGTGTTATTTCTAATTTTATTACCTGTACTAAGAATTCAGGTGAATGTGCTTTTTTTATGATATAGTGGGTGTAAGTTTCGTCACTTGGCGTGTCTATATTTCAGCGCTTGCTATTATACACCATCATACTAATGAAAATGTAGTGTAAGATTCATGAATAAAATGTGCATGTTTCGCAACAATTATTATTAAATTCGTAAGTGGAAGCCATCCAGATTTCCTAAAAATTAGTTAAATTTCCTAAAATAACCATTATAACGCCAAAAAACTGCCTTTCCTAATTAAAAGCCGTTGTCTCTCTCCCAAGCCTATGAAATTTCGTGAATTGTATATTTTTTGTGCTATTTCCTATCAACCCCTACATTTCCGAGAATGTTCATTGAATGAAATTCGTGTTTCCCGGAAATATTTTACAGAAAAATAAATTGAAAACGTTCATCATTTTTAAATATTTAATTTTTTACTATTTAGACAAAATAATGGCAATTTTTCCAATACGGTCCTGAAATTTTGGAATGATGACCTCAAGAGGTAATGACCCACAGTGGCGAATACAAAAAAGACATAATTTGCAAAAATTATTCAAAAGTTGAAAAATGAGCGCGTGGGCAAACGCGGCACAAACACGGCCGCACTGGGCGACCTGGCCATAAATTCAGTTGTTGATAAATGGCCTATTAGTGCAGTGCAGGAATGCGGAATTTGGTGTGATTCCTTACCTTCTATTAATCATTCATATTACAATTCCGAAAGGGAGAAATAAGATGAAGTGGATCTTATTTGTGGAAGGGCGAAATGGGCGTTGACTATTAGACGCCTTCATTATAGCCATCCTTGTCTATCACATGGATTTCTATGGCTTCGGTTCTTTCCTACCCGGTATACGTGAACTTAGAGTTAAGGAAAATACAAAAAAGCCAGTCAAGCAACTGATCAAAATCAGTTTCATCCAGCGAGTTAGGATTTCTCATTGCATTGCGTAAAGTAGACTTTCAGCAATCACTAATTTCATCACTGTATTTTAAACTTGATTTTATAAGAAAGTTTTGCGAATACTCTAAGATTTAATCGTCCAAATTTAAATGAAGATCCCCCGCCGGGCGAAATAAACATTGCCGTCGATCATTTTAATTAACTAATTTCTGTTCAAGTGAATATTTATAGCTCGGGCCGCTGTCAACAAAATGTGTCATAAAAACTACAGAAGACAACTTTTCAACTCAATTAAATTCGAAACGAGATAACTTGGGACCTGTGGGGTCGCAATTGTATCAAATAACAACAAAACAAAAGAAGTAACTCGGAAATAATTTTTTAACGATGTTAAATGAAAATCCAAGTTCAAGTTCTCCGTTGGAAAAAAAAAGAAATTCGTCACGTTCTACTTCCTGGGATAATTAAATTTGTTTTTTACTTACACGTTCCTGGCCAAATATTTGTAAAAAAAATCGTCGGTAATTCTCCAAGATAGTGACAGTGGTCCTTTGTAGGTTTTTAATTTCTCTTAGACTGCATATATTTATTTATTATAACGACAACTGACAATAGAAAAAAAATTCTTTAATGCTTTAAATTATGATTGTTTAAAGTTATGTAAACATTTAAATTTTGATCAAGAACGCATTATGATGTCATTTAGTGTGACAAAACCTGCTTCTTGACCGTCTCCCGTCTAGTCTACAATTCTCCCATGCCGTTGAGATAAAACTTAATCTAAAAAAACGCGCAAGTAGGGAGCCTCGGAGTTTGGTTGTCTCTAGATTCTTGACTCTTGTACTTACTTTGCTCACACTGTAGGGCCGTAATCCAGGTCAATCAATTCTCGATCGCACTAAATGACTGAATTATCAACAGTTGGAAACGTAATTTTAATCAAAAAATATTCTATGCACATGGGTCTAAAAGAGCTCAGTAAAAGTATTCTATTAAAGACATACAAAGTATTTTCTATAATCAAAACCTTTGATAATAATTAAAATTGCTCAAACTTATTGAGAACATCTGAAGTGGTTCCCTATAAAAAAGGACCGAATGGTTGGGAGACATAAGAAAAGTTTGCTTCCACATTTAGGAATAATCTGAAGTTTCTGAACAAAAAAATTTAGTTTTGCTGTAAATTGTAAACAAAATAACCTGATCTATTAATGGGGTCAGTAGTTCCAAAAATGTTTTCTCATATTATTGGGGTAGGTCAGTAGGTATCAGAAAGAAAATATTCTAGCCACAAAAATATTTCTGTGAATTAAGTTTTTGCAACTCGACTTATTTAATTTTAAA